CACACACACACACACACACACACACACACACACACACACTTTAAGCACAAGGAACATGCATATACAACTCCATTCTGACACTATGAACTATGAAATCCTGTTCCTGTTTTTGGGGTGTCAGGGAGCACCAGTGTATGCGACCAGCTAACAGAGGTCTTGTGTTCCAGCAGACCTGATCTTTAAGTGGTCCCCTCCCTGGTGGTGACATTTGTCTTCTGAGAGGAGTCTTCCTTTTGTGAGTGGGGAGAAAACAAAAGGTCGGCCTCCTGGGTCAGGAACAGAGAGGGCACAAGAGTATGAAGGGACCCTGCATCTAGTAGCTGGGAATGATACAGTCCTTGCCTTGTCTAGCCTGTGTTTCTCTCTGCTACACTGGTGTTTTTTTCTCCCCAGCTGAAGACTTGAATAAATAATTTGATTTTCTGTTATTGCCGGCGATTACCGCATCTTCTTATTTAACTTATGTCTTCTTTCCAAGCGAGAGTATCCAGGTTTCGGTTGGATCTATTTTAAGGTGAATTAATTAACCAGCATAATAATACATTCATGTTTCTTTTTTCAATATATTTTTACTCTAAAATAGTTACAGAACACTTGCCAATGAACCCCTAGTAAACCACACTGTCTTTGTGGGTGTGTCTGTTGTTCCCTTCCTACCTAACAGGGAAACCTGCCCCCAGACTACAGAATCAGCCTGATAGACATTGGCCTGGTGATCGAGTACCTGATGGGCGGGGCTTACCGCTGCAACTACACGCGCAAGCGCTTTCGGACCCTCTATCACAATCTCTTTGGCCCCAAAAGGGTGAGCGTCTGGTTTGTTCTTAAGCTGTTTGGGGAAGACTAGGAAGGAGAGATTTGAGGTATAACCCCTTGCCTCCAAGGGGAAAATGAGTTGAAAAACAGAAAGTGCACCTCTCCTCCTTTTCCCACCCAAACTATGGAAATTTGTTATTCAATTTAAAATACTGACCAAACAAATTCTACACTGTTTTTCTTGAGATGACAGTCACACTTTGATCATCCTAAAAATGCCTGTCTAGTGTTGCTGTCTAAGTAACCACAGTCTCTCTGCTAGTCTTTCCTTCAAATAAAAATGATCTTCCATTTTGGGGTTTGGGGATGGGGGTTGTTTTGCTTTTTTGTGCCTGCAATTCAATTCCAGCAAAAAAAAATCTGTGCTTTTTCTGGAGCATCATTGGGTCAGTCTGTAGCAAAAGTGGTCCAGGCAGGGACGGCTTTGTCTTTTATCCCACAAGACGGTAACAGGGCATGTTTAGGACACATCCTCCAGGATCAATTTAGCCAACGATTACATTGTTTACATCTTGAGGACATTCTTAAGTGACGCTGTTTGGGGTTTGTTACTGTGTTGTTTGGTTGGTTCCTTCTGTGCCTAGCAACAGCCAAGCAACTCCATCGCCATAATTCCTGTCGAGCTGAGGCCCCACAGCTTTGGGCCACAGATGCTTTCATAAACAGGGTGGAATCTCAAAGGTGTGTTGTTTCTACAAACATAGCTTGGGCTTTACTCTCTGACCGAGGCTGGGGGACCCTGAGATGGCATCCCTAGAGCTGTTGTCTCTACTGGTAGTAGGCATAATATCTTTTTTTCCTGTCTTTTAAATATTGTACATGATTTTTCTTAATATTGGGGTATCATTATTTTCCCTTTACTTTGTGTAGTTTTTATTTTCTGACTTTTTTTAAATTTTTAACAGTTTTTCACTAATGAAAGGATTTTGTGGTCTATTAGAAAACCGAGAGAGGGGTACAAACAAGTTGGAATGAAGACAAAAAATTTAGATGTCTTCATTTCAGAAGTCAAAAGAGGGAGACCAGCTCCAGGCTATTCCAACTTGCATAATCAAGTCACATTCGCAGGAACTGTCAGCTCACAATTCTGATAATTCTTATAATTCTTATGCCCTCAGTAGTGTCCAAAATGACACCTACTGATCTGTTGCACTTAAAAGCACAGATCCCGGCCCACAGGCTGTAAGTTTGTTCTCCCTGTCATCAATACAAGCAAACTCTATAATCCCCAAATGGCCTTCTCTGTGGCCTTCAGTTGTGCCCATTTTACACATTCCCAGCACGCCCAGGGAAGTCACTACGTGCGTACTGTACCACTGAGTCACTTCTGCCACCCTCTGCACCTGCTCTGGGTCACACACCCTTGGTCTACTGTACAGCACCGGAAGATAGCTAGAGCAAGTGTCTAAACAAACCTTTTGAATTGCACCCCCAAGTCTCCAGATAATAGAGGTTTTCCAGAGGTTTGAGAAATATCTGGTTTGATCTGTTGATTGTTTCATTTTTTCATCTGTCTTCTCTGCTTACACTGCTGTAACAAAACACCATGGGCTAAGGGACATATAAATAGCATCAGTGTGTCTTTTGTGGCTCTAAGTCCAAGCACAGGTTCCGACAGATTGAGGATATGTAAGGGGTCTGTTTTCTCCTTTGCAGATGGCCCTTTCTGGCTGTGTCTTCACACGGGAAAAGGCAAACAAGCTCCCATTAGTCTTGATAAAGACACAAACTTCTTACAGGAGGTGTCTTTCATAATGAACTAACACTGTCCCCTCAAATATCTGCCCCAATTCCAATCCCTTGTCAGTTAGAATTCCTTCACATGATGGGGAAGGGGAGGAAAACAGTCAGACCATAAAATTCATTCAAGTGCTGGATGTCCTAGAGATGTCAATCAAGCAGGATGGTTATAGGAAAGGAAGAGACAGTTTGGTCCACAAAAGTCCTTATAAGCCTTCAATTCTTTCTCTTCAGTTTTCTAATCTTCTGTGCTTCACCAAAATCACAACATCCTCAACTCTCCTAGAATTTCTAAAAACATGTTCCTTTTGTTGTGTTTACTCAGTGACATAAAAATTAATGCTGTATGGTACAATAGAGTTCTTATATTATTTATTTGCCTTATAGTAGCATTCGTTTCTTACCTCAATGAAAACAAGATCTAACTTTGTTCACAACATTTTTTTAAACAGCCCAAAGCCTTGAAACTGCTGGGAATGGAGGTTAGTGTTTCCTCAAATTATTAGTGTCGATTATTCTCTTTCTCACATATTTAAAAGATATATGAATTCATTTTAATAATAAGGCTTAGTGCATGAATCTAAAATAAGGGAATAAAGATTTTTCCAAGTGCCATGATGGCAGCTCACAGTAGCATTTAAAATTCCACACTGAATTTATGTGAGCATTTGGGGGAGAAAAAAAAACAAAAGAAGTAAATCCTGTTGTAAATACCGACTTGAAAACCAAGTGTATAAACTCCACAGGCAAAATCAATTATAGATATTTACAATGGCAACAGACCGATAGAAAGCTGCAGCTGCATCTAACAGGGATGCAGGAGCTTGAGCGTTTGTGTTCCCATCTTTTGTTCATTGTTTATCGTTGTTCTGTGACAACCCAAGTATAGCTTATCCTTGCTTTTTTCAGAAAATAAATAATAAACATGGCAATGCTGTCCATCATGGGGTAGAGACAGCCACACCTGTGGAAGACGAAATGGACAAAAGTAAACAAAAAAAGGAAAGAAAGAAAATGATCTTTGAAAATATTTTTGGAATTTTAAAGACAGACTCTCATTATGTAGCCCGTCCTGGCCTCGAACCTACCCACCGTCCTCCTGTTGCTTAGAAAATGTCTCTTGTATTTGTTTTGTTTTGTTTTTAAGTAAAGTGTAAACTGACATGTCGGTAGCTGAGTATGCATTTACGAAGCCTGAATTAGCCCCGGAAGGAGCTTGTGAGTCTCTTTAGGATAAGAGCTTGTCTGATTTGTTTCAGTGTGGTTCTAGAGCTGAGCCCATGGAAAGGTATGCATAGAGTTTGTAATGAATTAGTGAGATTCACTTCAGACTCAGCCTGTGCTTGTCTCTCTATGATTGCAGGATGATATTCCCTTGAGGAGAGGAAGGAAGACAACTAAGAAGCGGGAGGAAGAGGTGGACATAGACTTGGATGACCCTGAGATCAACCATTTCCCATTCCCTTTCCATGAGCTGATGGTGTGGGCAGTCCTCATGAAGAGGCAGAAGATGGCCCTGTTCTTCTGGCAGCATGGAGAGGAGGCCATGGCCAAAGCCCTGGTGGCCTGCAAGCTTTGCAAAGCCATGGCTCACGAGGCTTCTGAGAATGACATGGTTGATGACATTTCCCAGGAGCTGAACCATAACTCCAGGTTAGCCAGCCAGCACATGAGGAGGGTTGGAGAAGAGGAAAACATAGACTCCAAATTCGAGACGTTCTGGGCTTCATAAAACTTTATACCATAGCAGAGTCACCCCGCTAGGACACACAGAGGGTAGGCATGAGTAATTTACCCTTATTGTGCACAATGCTGCCCAAGAGGTATAAAGACGGTACGCAGACTTCACCCATCCTCTCCAGTGCCCATGCCACAGATCACGTCATCATGCATTTTATCCAACTTAGGATATCATCTCAGAAAATTTAGGTAATTCGGCCAAGATTATAGATGGGTTCGAACTTGAGGTCTCTCTTATTTAAGAAGACACACTACACCTCGTCATTAGTTGATTATTCTGCCTCTTCCCTGACAGGCACTGAATTGGGGGCCTTGAGTGCAGGAGTCTAGCTTTAACTGACATCTTCAGTTCTAGACATGGTGTCTGTCACAGAGAGAATGCTTAAAGGATGTTGCCTTGGTGGGTTTATGAGTAGACTAGGCCTTACATGAAACGGCTACTCCACATAGCAAGCTACCTTCTCTAATTGAATGGTGGGGCCCCATCTCTGTTCTTGGGAGTCTCCACATTGGCCTAAAAGTGTCTCCTGCACATTGTCTTTCAGGGACTTTGGCCAGCTGGCTGTGGAGCTCTTGGACCAGTCCTACAAGCAGGATGAGCAGCTGGCCATGAAACTGCTGACGTATGAGCTGAAGAACTGGAGCAATGCCACATGCCTGCAGCTGGCTGTGGCCGCCAAGCACCGTGACTTCATTGCACACACGTGCAGCCAGATGTTGCTTACTGATATGTGGATGGGACGGCTCCGCATGCGAAAGAACTCAGGCCTCAAGGTCAGCATACCCAAAAAGGATCTGTTACTGTAGAATCCAAGGGTTGGTTGAAGTTTTCCAAGGAAATTTGTGGTGGGGCTAGGGATTGTCTTGTGTTGGAAATTGGTACTAACCCACTAGAAATTCACTAGAATCTCCCTAGAGATGTGATTTTCATTTAGAGTCAAGAATTTGAATTTGAGGTCTGTCACATGTAAGAAGGCAAGCTACACATGCTCTAGTCATTGCCTGATTATTCTGCCTCTATCTGCACGTGCCTTGGTTTGGGAGTCTTGAGGGCTGATCTCAAGGCCTACCTAAACAAACTCTTCTCTCAAATTCCAAAATACAGAGAACACACAGATGCTCTTAGGGCCATCATACACTCTGACATAGTCATGCTGCCACAGGAGTCTCACTTAAGCCATCCTTCAGTACCCTATAAGATTGAATGTCCTTCTGGTCCCACCCAGTCTAGTTTTGCACTGTGTGATATCATAGAGGCATGGGCTCTACGGTATGTGCTTGAGATATTTTAAATAAAGTTGAGATAGATTTGTTTATCAAGACATTATTCACTTTTAAAAAAAGAAAAGTGTTTGGAAATCAAACCCTGAACCTCACATATGTCAGTGAACTACATCCCTAGTCTCTATTATCAAATGAAGAAACACAAGTCACAGACCAGTTTGTGCCATTTAAGCACAGAATGAGAAGGTGTATACATATCTTTAACTATATAACTCAATTAAGGAGAAACATGTAATCAATTGTTGGCAGTAATTGCCTTGGGTATTGAAGAGACAGTTAAGGGACTTGTTCTTAAGAACAACAAGTTGGGTTTTAGATCTTGCCACATTTGTTTGTAGTTTTTCAGAGGCTCTCAGGGCCCCACACAAGCCAGGCATGTTCTCATTCTCTACCTTTAAGCTACACACTCAGCCCAGTCTTTGCTTCTTCTAATCCTTTTTTAATGATTTTTCAAGGAAAACATTAAAGTGAAAGGATTAAAGGGGGACATGGATATAGATGATCAAGAGAAAATGGAAGAGTGTTGGTTTTGTTTCATTTTTTATGGTGCCAGTTTTTAATTATATGTTTTAAGATAACAGCATGATGCTTTAACATACACAGAGTATGTATAACTACCAGAGTCAAGCAAATTGACACATTCATCATCTTACAGTTACCTTTTTTTTTTTTTTTTTTTGCCTGTGGTAAGATTGGCTAAAATATTCACTGTTAACAAATTGTTAGTATGTAGTATGTTGTCAGGAACATGTTGTTCATGATATGCATAAGCTCTCTTGATATGCTTGCCCCACAATTCTGCATCCCACAATCTTTGACTGCACTTTTACCGGATCAACACTGTCTGCCATACTCTACCTTGCTTGTGGGCTCTTGGCCCAAGGTTACAAAAAGGGTTCTATGAAGTGGGTCATGTACTACATCCCTGAGTCATGCTGCTAGTAGTGGCCAAGTCTGGCGACAGATGGAGAGCCAAGCCAATTCTCAGCTCTGAGGACAGGGCATTATACCCTACGACAATTGCCAGCATGCCATTTGAGCTTCTCAAAACACCTATAATTCAGAGTTATTTCTACCCCCTCCCCTCTTTTTGTAAGTCCCCCCATGGGTATTTCAAGGCCTGGCTGTACCTGTAAGCACATGATATTCACTGACCCTTTGGGATCTAAGTCCCTCCCCTCGGTGCAGTGTCTTCAAGGAGGCTCATCCTCAGGAGCCTTGTACAGTAGGACCATTTTAGAATTGAGAGAAGATGAAGCAGAGACTGTTCTTTGATAATGGAGGAGAGAGCTCTGCCACAAGAAAGTCTGTACAATGAGCATCCTGACACTGAAATTCACATGCAGTGTTTACAGTGTTTACACATGAAAGCAACGCAATGCTTCTCTTCCTGGGGCTTCTGTGCAAGGAGACCAACTATTCTTGGTGAATACAGATATCTCTGCGGGGGTCGGGGGGAATAGGTGATTCTGCTGTACATTCCCTAATTCCAGCAGAATATTGTACGGTAGATAAACTGATTCTCTGCATGTGTCTTCAAGGTCAATTTAGAAAACATTTCTTTATGGAGTTCATAAGCTAACATATCGACACTACTTGATACATTCACAAATAAATGCCAGTACATGTGTATGAAGTGATTTCTCCAAACCAAGAGCTGTTTAATGACTAAATGGAAATCTTATGTTTTTCTACCTTGGATAAGCTCCCTTCCCTCAGTTTTCCCCAGGAAAGTAAGAATTAATAGGTTAAGATTTACTTGAGCAAAATAAATAATGCATAGATGAACACAAAAAAATCTTTTTCACATGTGTTTAAATTTCCAAATATCCACATCCTTGTACAGTAAATACAACACCTGTGCATGTGCATGTGTGAACACAAACACACACACACTCAGAGGCCACATCCCAGGCTTTCTGATTCTAAGCAACCACCCTAATCTTAATCCTTTAAATGTGATTATTATTATTATCATTATTATTACTTTAGGTAATTCTGGGAATTCTACTTCCTCCTTCAATTCTCAGCTTGGAGTTCAAGAACAAAGATGACATGCCCTATATGACTCAGGCCCAAGAAATTCATCTCCAAGAGAAGGAGCCTGAGGAGCCAGAGAAGCCCACAAAGGAAAAAGATGAAGAGGACATGGAACTAACGGTAAGAAAACACTTATGCAGTTTTTCTCCCTGTGGGGAATCCCCCAATCCAGTCAACTATTGATGCTGCTGGGGTTCAGTAATGCTTGAGAGCAGATAAGGGTTCTCCAGCCCCTGCTAGGTCTAACCTTTTAAGTGTTGGGACTACAATATCCTAAGTCTCCTCTTTGTGCACAAACAGCACTTCTCTAGGATCCAACTGTATGGAAAGTCTTTCTGCCAATGGTGCCGAAAAACAAACCAATGAGATTCAAAGCCAGACACCCTCAATTTTCTGGGCAAGCATCCGTTTATAAACATGAAGATATGACTAGCAGTCTTAACACATGAATGAAAGGGAAGCCAGGAGTTGTGAGCAGCCAGCTTTGCTGAGCTGGAAGCATTCTGCTGGTCAGAAGCTAAGGCTGTATCTGTCTTCAGGGTCAAAGTCACAAAACCAGCACTAATTGAATTTTGAGGTTTGTATGGAAAGCTTTTATTAGCTTCCCAGTACAATTATAGAACATGGATGCTTTGTTCTGCATAGAGAAAAAGACAGCTATGCATGGAACCACTTCCCACAGCCCCCACCAGAGTGACATGACTGCCACTGGCTTGTGCCCAAAGGCTAAAAATAGCCTGCGCTATTAAAGGGGCACATAGGGCTTCGTAGCTTGGGAGAGCTGCATCAAACAGCAACTCTATAAGGACGGTTCTGAGGCTCCTCAATCTCCTTCACTGCCACTGGCTACAGGAGTAATGACCCAGAAGGAGCTGTAAGAGGAGAAGATGAAAATTGGTTTGGTTCAGGTGACAAAAAGGCCTGCATGAGTCTCCTCCCTGGAACGACCATGGGACATGTTCCTCTTCCATATGCACAGCATTTCTTTCCAGAAACCCCTTCCTAGGAATTTGATGAGAGATATGATCCTTCACTAACTGGATGAAAAGCCAACTTTTGTTTCAGCTCTCAGATCTCTCTAAAATTCTATGTAGGTATCTGTTCAAAAAACAAACAAACAAACAAACAAACTGCCCTGGCCTGCCCTGCAATGGCAGCAGAGACTGTCTTCCCTGAAGATCATGTCATAATTTTGATCTCTGAACTCCTCAGATGAGAAACGATATTTTAATCATGCTGATACTGAATTCCTGCTGGCTGTTCCAGCAGATAGGTAGAGTCAGAATTCTACCCTTTACTTTCCTACCCTACTTTCTTTGTGACCTTGAACACAATTTCATTCCTTCAAGAGTGGGCATATAGGTTTGTCTGACTCACAGGTGACTACATGGATTAAAGGATAAACCACCTAGGCCATGATCATTATGTAAAATGGATGGACAGACAGACAGACAGACAGACAGACACATAGATACATAGATAGATACATAAATACATAGATAGGTGCTTAGATAGATAGATAGATAGATAGATAGATAGATAGATACATACATACATACATACATACATACATACATACATTGATAAATACATAGATACATAGATACATAGATAGATGCAGATAGGTGCATAGATAGATAGATAGATAGATAGATAGATAGATAGATAGATAGATAGATAGATAGATAGATAGATGATAGATAGGATGAATGGGTAGGTAGATGGATAGACAGACAGACAGACAGACAGACAGACAGACAGACAGACAGACAGATGATAGACTAACCATTAGGTACATGGATATAAACTTACACTAACAACTAAACATTAATAAATGTTTGCTTATGGTGTTGAAAGTGCTGCACACTCTATCTGCCTCCACTACTCATGGGAACACGTCATGCCTGTCAGGTAAATACTGTTCTACCTCACAGATTAAAAAGCAAGGACTCAGAGATTAAATTGCCCACATTTGCCCAGCTGGTTAGTTGTAACGGTGGTATTAGAATCCAGGTATACATGTTCCATTAGCTATTGTTATATATTTAACAACCTTTGCCAACTGTCAAGGGAGAGAGAATTACTTTCTATTATCAGATGGCCTTGCTTAGTGGATTTGGTTTGCCACAGAGTAGAGAGCTCTAAGGGATGGCAAGCGTCTCAGATCAAGTAAGGTGTGGCTCCCTCACAGGAATAAATCCTGAGAGGAGAGCCCAGAAGCTGAGTGGTATTTTCTATGGCTGGGTATAGAGAAAGGCGCTTCCCTTGTCCCCTAAGAGCTTTTGGGACTTTTATCCTTCAGGAAACCACTGTAAAAGATGTCTCCCTAGTCCCAGAGCCCAATGGGCTTGCCAGTGAGTAGATCCCAGCCAGCACTGTTCACTGAGAACCTGAGTAGGAGGGATGATGATAAGTAGGAACGTCAGAAAGAAGATTAAGGTGGTGACTTGTGGGCTACAGGCTTTCAGTCAGGGAAACACTGTCTTTGCAAGAGAGCTTCTTTTCACTCTGATGGCAAAGTCTGTTTTTGCTTCTCTGGTGAACATCTCACCTAGACGGATTGGAGAAAGGTGCTTGTTGACAAGACTATTCCCTTCATAAGGCTGATATTTGAGCTTCTAGCAAAACAAATACATCCTTTCTGAGACTAGGACATCCTCAGTTGCTTCCAATGACAGCTAAGAATATCCAGGCACTACTTTGTCCATGTTTGTAGCCTTTAGCAGCTTAATTTACATTAGAGAATCTTTCTTCACATTGACACCTGTCTCAAATCTTCACTGGGCAATCATATTTGACCCTGTTCAAACCTCTTCCTCTACAAGAAAATATATTTTTTTGTTCTCAATTTTAAACAGCTTTTTAAGGTTTCTTTTATACATACATGGCCCTGTTAAATTCTGATTTAAGCAATGCTAAGGGAAAGGTTTGACCACAGGGAAAAGAAATCAACAGAATCAGCGAATTATGCTGCTAAGGCTGGAGCTGATGAAATGGCAAGACTTGAAAAACGAAACTTTACAAGTGTACCCTCCCCTGAGTATGTGTGACTGATACCAGAAAAAGCAGGATGCAGTGCTCTTGTTTCGTCTCCATAGCCAAATAAGTGTGCCAGCCTGAACTTAAGCCTAAGACAGTCTCAGCTCATGCAAAGGTCCAGGGCTTTACTAGGAAAGCCACTGCCCCTAGACTTTACCCCAAGATGTCACTCTCCAGGATACCTAAAAAACTTTAAATCATCTTTACTTTCATTCCATCATGTCCCCAAGTGGCCCCATGATACTGAGCATAAAAATAAGCAGGACAGGAAGAGAATAATTGTTACATAAATTCTAGGACAAATATCTCATACAGTCAGGGTCTCTCGAGGCCAGCCGCCAATGCTGATAGGACTCTCCTGTGCTTAACCCATCAGAATATTGATTCTGTACACTGATGGATGTAATAGCCATGTGAAATCTTCCTGTCCATTAGCTCAAGGCGCCTTTCTCACCAGGATATACAAATGAATGGGAGTTTCTCCCCCAGAAATACTACTGGATAGACATAAATCATCTTTGAGCATCATACAGTCGAATGGACTGGCTATAAGGAAATCATGGAAATACTTGGAACTAACATTTGTATGTGTTATGTCAGGTGACTGAAAAACTAAACCATGTAGTAGTTATCCCTGTCCTCAATGTCACTGCAAATTGCTATCATTGCTATAATTAAATCTCTTAATGTGAAAGTCATGGGCCAAATACTGTGTCTGATCCCAAATCCTTGTCAATTCTGAGCAGCTATAATACCTTATCCTATTCTCACATATGAGTCTCAGGTTGGGAGGTGGAACAGGAGTGTGGCTCAGCGGGTAAGAGAGTATGTTGTAAAAGCTTGAGGACCAGAGTTCAAACCCCAGACGCATGCAAAAAGCCAGCTATAGTCACATGTTCCTGTAACCCAGTGCCAGGAAGGGTAGGCAGAGACCGGAGGCTCACCAGGATTTACTGTCCACCAGACCAACTCCAGATGCAGTGAAAGATCATGTATCAAGGGGACAAAGGGGAGAGCGATACAGCAGTATACATACCTAATACTCTCCTCTGGCCTCTGTATGCACATATGTACATACTTGAACATACATCACACGTTCACCACATGTGCACAAAAAAGAAAAATCCAATTTCCCCACATTGTAGAACTAACCTTGTCTTCCAACAATATTAAAGGATTAAAGCCTGTACTTTGTCCTATTCTAGATTCTCATGGCATGCATATCTTTCTGGTGAGGGACTCTTCAGACAAGAGTATCCAAGAAGGTCCCAGATAACTTTAAAGACTACCTAGTAGCTCCTGAGCACTGTATTACGTGCCCAACACGACTGTGTAAGAAAGGACCATAGCTCAATTTATGGCTGAAAAAAGCAGTTCTCAGAGGAGTTTAAACCACCTTCCCAGGAGTCCACAAACTCATCTTGGAACTCCCTCTCCTATCTGAGTCATCCAAAGGCCTAGAAGCCTTCACTATTAGGCTCTCCAGCCATCTCTGTGACATCCTGTTGCTTGCTACCCAGGTGTGTCTTCCTGTTCTCAGATTCTGCTGATTTTGCAATATTTGGTCATTATTACTCATATGGCTACTGTTGTGATGAACAGCAGGAGAATCCGTGTTTATAAAGATCTCCAGCAGCTTAGGGATAAGGACCATTGCAGATCAGGTCTACCTCAAATCATTCTCCTAGCCCATTTGGTTGCAGAGAAAGACACTGTACCCAGGAGTTACATACAATTGATAACAGCAGTAATTCTGATCTTATGGGGTTTTAAATGGAGAGACCAATGCCTGTGTTTTGATATGGGTAAAGATATTTCTATCCCAACTAAACTCCAGGCACTTCAGATGAGTTACTACTTGAATACTCCTGCTCTTTAGATATATGATGGACTCTAGTCCAATCGATCTTTGACTGGAGAGTCAGTAGCACAGCCATAGACAGAATTTGAATACATATCTAGTGTGTCTCATATACATATGGGAAGAAAGTAACAGAATTGGGACAGATTCCTGTAGCCTGGCCTTCCCAAACACCACTTATTATCCCTTTCAGAACTCAGCGTGTAATCTCCTGCTTACCTTAGAAGGTCCAGATTGTAAAAGAAGAGAAAGCTCAAAACGTATTCCCCAAGCCTTCCATTTTCAGCAGAAGAAACATGCAGTTTATACTAATATGGTGCAAACTCACACATAGGAACGGCATGCCTTTATATGTCTGGGGTGTTGGGCTTATATTCTTGGGTTCTGTGAGCTCTCAGGTGTCATGAGGATCCATTCCCCATCTACAAAATGGCCTAAAGAGCCCAGCCATGATAGTCTCTGTTCTCTACCACTATAGGCAATGCTGGGGCGAAGCAATGGGGAGTCATCCAGAAAGAAAGATGAAGAAGAAGTTCAAAGCAGGCACCGACTAATCCCCGTGGGCCGAAAAATCTATGAGTTCTACAACGCACCCATCGTGAAGTTCTGGTTCTACACTGTAAGCGCTTTTCTTCTCCCTTTCCAAATGACTAGCCACAGGAGAAGGTGTCCCTGGCTCAGTCACCTGAGTGGTTTTCACTGAGTAGTGTCATAAGTAGCACATGTGCAGGAATGCAAGCTCAGTGAACATGGTTTTCCAGTAGCTTTGCAAGATTTGTGGACTTTGGTAAGCAGCTTCCATGGGCTGCCTTTCTCCTTGCCACAGACAGTAAAGGAACTGACAGGGGTGAGGAGTCATAGAAACAGATGTGAGATGTGTGTATGGGTTTAGTCCAACCTGAAAAAAAGATGTCTATTTTCAGAACATTCTCCTTTGTTGAGATCTAGGACAGAGTGGCCATTACAGGTGCCCATCCAGGGCTTCAAGGGAACCTTTGGTGAGTCAGGTTGAAGCACAGTGTAGATGTAGCACCTCTGGGGACAGACAGTGTCCATAAGTCACAGCTTCCAACCTGTCACACCTTCTCACTCAGACACAATTAAACATCACGCAGCTCAAAGAAAGAAAACTGGCAGCCCTGGCAAGCGTTCTTCAGGAATCACACCCTACATACACTTCCTGCCTGCAAAGCCATGGGCTGTCCCCGAAATAGCGTCTGATGTAGTAGAAAGAGACATAGCTGGGTTTCTTTTCTCCTTTCCAATGACATCTTCCAGCGGTTCTCAACCTTTCCTAATGCTATGAACCTTTAATACAGTTCCTCACGTTGTGGTGGCCCCCAACCATAAATTAATTTTATTGCTACTTCATTAACCTCAATCTCGCTACTGGTGTGAATTGTGATGTAAAAATCTGGTATTTCCAATGGGGTGGTGACCCACAGGTTAAGAACCGCTGAAGCTAAACATGAGCTGTTGGCCTGCCCATCTCTAATTCTGTCCAACTCACTAGAGTGACATAGATAAAGGACAATGTGACTGTATTTTTAGACTCTCTCACGCCAGCTGCAGAGCAGTCATTAGAATCAATGACAAGATAATCTAGGTCTGTGCACAAGAATGCTCGAGCAACCGCGTAAGTTGCTTCCTGCACAGTCCAGTATGCAAATATTTAACACTGCCTTGAAAGAAAGACTTTACATCCTCCACACTGGTGATATTCTAGCTAGGATAAATCCTTGTCATGCAGCAATATCCTTGGTCTGTGCCCACCAGATGCCAGTAGCACACTCTGTCCTTTATGGAGGACAGCCAAAATGTTTCCAGGCATTTGTGAGATTAAAAACTACCACTGGTTAAAAGTCATTACTTTAAAGGATGATCTTAACGGAGAATGAGAGACTACAAAAAAAACCGCACATATTGCATGTATATTCATTTTTAGTAAAACAAAATTTCAAATGCATTGACATTGTGAAATAATCTCCACCACAGAATAGCATACATTCAAATATCCAGTTTATGCTTTTACAACGCAGCAGAGCTGTGACTACATATAGGTCCACCTTCATCCCTCTGTGCTGTGTGACACGAAACAAGTCACTTTCCTATTCTGTCTGTCCCTTCTATAAGTTAGGAATAATAATCCCACCTACTTTATGAAGATTAATGTGTTGAAGTATATAAAACACTCACAATAGACTCTGGACTGGTAATTACAATGTGAGGGTAGCTAGTGCTGTTCCTTAACTAGTCACATTTCAGAGAGGTAATCAATGCCAGAGTCATCTGTCCACTTGACACCAGGAGCATCACGTATTGAGCAGCTACTATGGTTAAGCAAGGTTCCAGATGCTTCCCAAATGATCTCCCTGAGGCTGACAACGGCTTCATCAATATAACATCTGTACCTCCTTTTCTTGCCCACATCTGCCCTTCTGCTTCTATCCTTCTGATTCAGTTGACACAGCCAAAAATAGATTAAAAACCTATAGCCAGAAAGAAACTCTGCTCTTAAGGTCTACAAACTAAAGCTTATTGCCTTTCTTTCTTTCTTCCTTTCTTTCTTTCCTTCTTTCTTTCTTTCTTTCTTTCTTTCTTTCTTTCTTTCTTTCTTTCTTTCTTTCTTTTTTCATTTATTCTATACTGCCGGGCCTCCAATCTAGTGCCTGAAGCATGGTAGGCAAGTGTTACACTACTGAGCTACAACCCCAGCCTGGTTTTGTTCGTTTGTTTCGGTTTTACCTTTTTTTAAAAAAGAAAAAAAAAAGATCGAAATAGCTTTTTAAAAATAATAGAATAGTTTGTAAAATATGAAGTTCAAATTTCAATATTTATTATACCTGGACACACATATGTGCTACAAAAAAAAGTTAATTATGAGCACATACACAAAAACAAACAAACCCTCTTGGCCTACAAAACCTTAAAGATTCATCCTGTGACTTTTTTGCAAATGTTAGCTGATTCCTGGTCCAAAGCATAGGAGAAATTGGTGGGAGGAACTGTGCAAAGAATTAAGCATCTCTTGGATGAACACTGACCCCACTTAGCCTTCCAAGCCATCTATCTGCCTTGACTTCTTCGTTGGTGCTCAACAGTCCCACCATTTTAGTTCCTTGATCCTCTTGGTCCCCACAGACTCAACTCAGACAATGTCTAGCCCCATTGCTTTTGCATCACACATACTCTGGCCAGTGGCTCTCAGCCTTGGCACCTCCATAGCAAGACCGGAATCACCCATAGCACTTTTGGTTTTGAGTCTTGTTTTTGTTTTAAGCCAGGGTCTCACTCAGGTTTTGCTCAAACTCCCGACCTTCTCACCTCAGCTTCTCCCAGAGGCCACTAGCAGGTTAGATGACTTACACGAGATGCCATGCATGAGCTGACACTTAAGCCCAAATTACTCTGCCTACCTTCCTTCCTCCAAATACACTAGACGTGAGTACAGAAGATGGACTCTCTTAGAGAAATTACTCTGAACATGAAGAATTTCTGAAAAAAATGAGTTCATATGTCACTGGGTGAACATGTGACAAGAAGAGACAATGCCTTGAAATATTTTGCGCTAAAACTCACAAAATATTAAAAACCAGGACATGTAGCAAGATTCACCCCATCAAGTGACCAGGATAGAAGCAATTCCAGGCCGAAGGGGGCAGAGGGTATTAGGCAGTTTCACCTGCTGACTGCCTTACTGCCTTGTCTATGTGTACAGGAGTGCAGAGAGCACGTTAGTGTTCTTGATTGTAACCTGAACCCATGTGGACCAAGTCAGACTTGGAACCAATATTTAAAGAATGCCTCTTTGATGAGAAAGCCCCACGACTCACTGGTGATTCTGACATGGGAGGTGTGGGTACCTAAGGCAAGGATTAATTTGACTGTAGTTGTGGGGATGTAAAAATTAAATCACCCTGGTGGAGAAGGAGCTCAGCTAACCCTCGGCAGCTGTAACACTCACTCTGTCACAGTCTGATTGTTCCAGATGTGACATTGTTTACTTCAGATGAACGAAGGGCTGGGAAGTAGCTCTCCGAAATAGAGTGCTTGCCTATTATGTATAACCTATCACACACACACACACACACACACACACACACACATACACACACACACTAAGAAAAAGAAAAATCTGGAAGGGAATTCTGTCCCGCTGTTATACCTGGGCATGTGTCAGCAATATAATGAGGGTGTCAGGATTACCTTCGAATCACATTAAAAGTCTATTCAAGTTATAAAATGAAGGAAGGAGCCCATTGGTAGATAAGACACCATCTCTCTGGTTCCACATCTCGATTCTGCTAGCCAGTCTGTGGCTTCTGCCACATAATTTACTTTTACAGCCCCAAGGTCACCCAATGTCTTCAGCTCCTCATATCCTCAGTCCTCCTGCCCACAGGCTGCCCTGTACCTTGCCACATGACCCACTAAGGAATGCAGACTGGAATCAGCTCACTCTGGGTTCCCACTCACAGCCCCTGAGGCCAGTCAGGGCCTTGCTCATCTGGGAGCATTGCCTACAGGAGGTTTTGCTCATCTGCCATTCCCCTTGGGGTAAATTTTCTTCTGCAAGAGTGCCACCAATTCTTCCCTTCCCACATTGACATCACTGAATCTTTCAGGAACAGACTCCAAGCTTTGGCCCTGAGGAGTGTAGCCCATGTCTAGCATTTCAGCCAGTCACATGAGGACTCAAACTCCAGATGCTGGAGCCTCAGGAGGATTTGATCCACTCTGGTACACACACAGGCCACACACCCCGGGCCTTCCCATAAACTGCCTTGTTTTCTCTTGTTTTATTTCAAAGAAGCAGAAATCTAACTCAAATATTCCAATCAGGGTAGGGCAAGATAACAGTACAGTGGGAAAACAGGTAAAATCCTCCCTAGGAAGCTGACCACTCCAGGTCAAGGATACCAGGGAGACATTATAATAAACTCAGGAAAGCTCAGAAGTGGAGCCTTGAGATTAATTCAAAGCTACTTACACAGTAGTTTCACCAACTTATAAGTACTATCTGTGTCTTTCTTTCTTTCTGGTAGCTATTAATCTACCTGGGAACTATCAGGGAGGTGGGGGAAATAAGTATATGTTCTTAATGTTTTCAAAACAATTTTTCAATAATAATTTAAAAATAAATAACATTTATTTTTTAAAATAAGTGTCACCCTATCATGGGAAGCCACATCTGTGCATAAACAAGAACAGCCCTGATAGCCCAGGTTCTTTTCTAAGTCAGAACTCCAGAATACATACAAAAACACACGCATACATACACACATGAACATACACACACATGAACACATATACACACAAATATGCACACACAATCACACACATACACACACACAAATACATACACATGAACACACACACATGAATACATACACATGAACATACACACACATGAACACACATACATACAAATACACACACATGCACACAAGAATACATATACATGAACATATATATATATATATATATATACACACACATGAACACATACACATGAACATACACATAATGAACATACATACACACATATACATGAACACATACACATGAACATACATACACATGAACACACACATGAACATACACACACAAGAAAACACATACACACAAATACACACACATGCATGTACATGCAGGCACACATACACAAATATGTACACATGAACATATATACACATGAACACACACACGAACACATGCACATGAACATACACACAATGAACACACATACACACACAAACACAAAACATAAATGAACACATACACATGAACATACACACACATGAACATACACACAATGAACACACATACACACAAACACACGCATAAACCAACAGCTGGTGACTGGCACACAGATTCATACACGGTAACACAAAGGTGCAAAGTTGGGCCCCAGAGGCACATATAAGGGTCAAAACTAACTTCAAAAATAAAATTATTTTAACTGTGGTAGCCTTTTTAAAACTTAATGTGGGGCAGAGATGGCTGAGCAGGTAAAGATTCTTGCCATCATCCCAGTGGCCTATGTTCAATCCTCAGAGCCCACATGGTGGATGGAGAGAAGCAGCGTCTAAGAACTGCCTTCGGACCCCCACAGGAATCCACACAGAAAATAAATAAATAAATAAATAAATAAATAAATAAATAAATAAATAAATAAATATTCTTTGATATTTAAAACTCTAGATCTCATTTGTCATGGGCTCCCTGCTTACTGACCTTAACCTGTGCTGCCACAGTGCAGCGGTGTAGCCCGGGACCCAGCTCCCAGGCCTCTGCAGTTAGACTACCGTATTGTATTTCCTTGCAGCTGGCATATATTGGATACCTGATGCTCTTCAATTACATCGTGTTAGTGAAGATGGAACGCTGGCCTTCCACTCAGGAATGGATTGTCATCTCCTACATTTTCACTCTGGGAATAGAGAAGATGAGAGAGGTAACGACTTCGTAAATGAAAACGGAAGGGAGATGTTGGCTCATGATATCTTAGGAAGAAGAGCCAAGAGGGGAGCTTGGGGTCCAAATTGAGCCCCAAACTGTGTTCTGGAATGCTGCTGAGGGATGCTGCAAACCTAGAGAGGTTTCCTAGGGTGATTAAGTCTGTTTCCTGCTCACATGCCTTTTGCCCCAAGACATCCTCCATTGGCTTTCGATATCATTTACACCTCTGTCTTCTCATCCCTGTGAAAATGACTCTTAAATTTTGCTATTCTTAACTCCAATTTCACCCCCTTACTTGGGATCTCCTTGGACACTGTCCACCAATCCAGTGTCACCTCTCCAAATGTGTCTCAGCAACTTGCCATCAAGCCCAGTTCCCTGAGTTCAATGCCCAGAACCCACATGGTGAGCAGAGAGAAACAACTTCTCTGTGTGTATCCTTTTATTCAGTTTATTTTTGAGTTGGTTCCTTCTTGATGTCTGTCATGCACATGCTGGGTGTCTGCCAGCCTTCCGCCCCTAGGGAGAGCCATAGAGATTGGGCACACAGTTGTGGTATTTCAGGTTGAGGATGTATTAGCCTCTCTCCTCACCTACCTCCAGATAGCCTAAGAAATGCCACCCCTATATAACGTGTTTGAAGCTAACCACATGAACAGGACATCGTATTCGGTGCTAAAATAAAAAGAAATGAGCTATGAGGCTATGGGAAAATATAGGTGTGCATTATGAAGAGAAAGAAATCTGAACAGGATACAGTCTGTATGATTCCAGACATGAAATTCTGGGGAAACTTATGGGGGGGGCACTATGGAACCAGTAAGATTGGTGGTTGCCAGGGGTAGGACTTTGGAATGATGGTAAGTGAAGCCCAGGGCTTCTAAGAGCACAAAATACTTTGTATGCTATTCTAGTGTTGGATTCAAATGATTCCACATAGGTTCAAACCCATAGAATGTACCCTGATGTGGACTGTAGTCTCTGAGTGATAATGTCAACATCCAATCCATCACTTAAGCACTTTGTAGGGATCCACATTTACTATGGAAAGTGCTTTCTGCATACTTAAAGCTTCTCCAAACGCTTAAGATTTTTAAAAAAGAAAAAAAGGAAACGAAACAAGAAAAAAGAAAACAAAAAAGAAAAGCTAACCCCAACCTCCCTTTAGATTTCAAGAGCTTCTAAAATCTATGTGGTCAAGAAACAGTCCACAAGAGGGCGCAGCAATCCTGCTCAGTGCTCTCCACAAAGTCCCAACCTCACCAGAGAAAACCTGCAGGGAAGACAGGCTTGCTAGGTGAAGCAACTCTGCAAGTTCCCTGAATCTGCAGTGAGTGGGAAGGGCCTTTTCAGTAGGAAAGGATCCTGTCAAGTCTGTGTTGCTGGGAGCTCCAGAACAATCCTGGTTTCTTTATTACAGTGGGTGGGTACCGAAGGGGGCAGGGCCAGTTGTTAAAACCCACAAGCCCACCTTTGTCATCTAGACAGCTTCATAGATTCTTGCCCTATTGAATTTCATCTCTGGGATGTTTTCCAAAGAAGAAAGATGCGGTATCTATTAAATTTGATTGCACTGAGATTGAGACACACACACTTATATTTCGGCACCTTTCTCTGGAGCTGTTTGGATGCTATTTTTATTCTAATTAACATTCCCCCGTCCCGGAAGTTTGAGAGTGAGTATATAAGTCTCATCTGACTAGAGACTGGATTAAATGACTAAGGGACTAAGGCAGGGAGATGTCTTCTTGAATTGCTGTGGCCAATTCTCTGAGATGGTTTCTGCCATTCATAGGGCCTTCCGTTTCTTGAGCAGTAAGCTGAAAAAAACAGTAATAAATTTGCCTGGGACTTTGTATAGCTCTGAGAACTGAGCCCGCTAGAGGCCCCTGCCGCTGTGTGATGCCAGCTGGCGTTGAGGAGACTTAATACCCAGCCACATATTCCTTCCCCATCACAAGCAGAGGAGGGAAAGACTGGAGTGTGGAGACTGGAGGCTGTCCAGGACTAGGCTGGAAGAAGACAGGGAGCAGCCTGTACTCCTCGGACTGTTCTAGAGGAGCTGCCAAGTGGGCGGGCTGCCAGCAACCTCCAGGCCTGGCTATCCATTTCTTATGAAGCTGCATGTCATGGCAGGCAGGGTGGGGCTTCCGATGCTGGGTCAGGACTGGGTCAGCTGAAGAGTGCTTGTCTCTGTGGAAGATGTGGGAAGTGAAGTTGTGCCTTTTTTGTGCCTGACCTTTTTCTCTGCAACTGGTGTGGTCACCTTTTCCCCCTATCCTCATGTCCTTACTTTGAACTCTGTAAGGAAAGGCTCAACAGAGTGGGTGACAACTCTCACAAGCCGTGGCCTTTCTGCCTCCTTGTGGTTGGTACACAAGCCCTTGGGAACTCAGACGAAAGATCCTGGAAGCATGGAAAAGTTTGCATGCTTCCATGCCTCCCAAGTGAACACAAGGAAGGCTGTGGTTTCATGTGCTGCCTTCCTATTCTCTTTAGCGCATACTTCTGCATGTAGTCACCAGAGCTAAGCCACAGTAATCCCTTAATACTATGGAACTGTTTACAGCAAGCCTTAGTAGACGTTATCTCACCCAGTTCTCCCACAAGTCTGTGAGGTCAGTGGCAGCCACGATCCCATCCATCCCCCGTTTACAGGTCTGAGAAACAAGATTGAGCAATTGTTTGGTACGCCACAACTAGAAAAGTGAGCTAGGTCTGAAACCTCTTGGGTCATCTGAATCTCACTTCCCTTTCCACTCCCCCATGATGCTCTACTACAGTGGTTCTCAACCTGTGGGTTTTCTACCATTTGAGGGTAGAATGACCCTTTCACAGGGGTCACCTAAGATCATCAGAAAACGCAGATGTTTGTATTATGATTCATAACAGTAGCAAAATTGCAGTTATGAAGTAGCAACAAAAATGATTTTATGGTTGAGAGGGTCACCACAGCATGAAGAACTTTATTAAAGGGTCACACATTAGGAAGGTTGAGAACCACTGGTCTACTAGGTCCTGGCATTCCAAGGCCTGTGTTAAGGGATGGCTTAGCAGTGATGAAGCAGAGAAGGAACTCAACCATTTACTCCTGGTTCAGCAACTCTCTCTTTATCTATCTATCTATCTATCTATCTATCTATCTACCTACCTACCTATCTACCTATCCATCTATCTATAGAAATAATGAAAGGAACCTGAATTGGGGTACTGCTTAATGATTCTTTGCTTACACACTCAACTCTAATCACTGACCACATCATGGTTTAGGTCGTTAAAGAGCTGACTATGTGTTCCTCAGAAAATGAATGGTAGGCTGGTGGCCATAATGATGGCAGGGATGCCTTTAGAAAATAGCTGCCACCATGTGTTGATCTAATGGGACTTAGAACTCAGTGACAACCATGGTGTTGGTGAAGCCACTAATGGGGTCGAGACTTGGTGATGCAAGAGGAATGAGGGTGTCCTGTAGGAGTGGCTCATGTCACTCAGTACTGAAGAGCTGTTTACTGAGATGAAGATTTTTGTAGCTCTGCAATGTGTTGGGAATCCATAATGTTATAGCAAAAGCCTGCAGTGCCTCAGAATTGCCAGACAATGCCAAGGATGAAACCTGTTGTTTATATCTGCTTCTAGACTGTGAGCATCTGGACGACCTAAGCTTAGCTCAATTGTGAATTCATAGTATACAAGTATTCAAGTAGACACGGGTCCAGATAGCCTCTTATGTCAGCTAATAGACAAAGAAAGCACTTTCCAGCTAAGCTGAAAGTCTAGGAGAAGCCAGACCTAAGCCCTCTCCTCCTGCCTTGTAGATTCTGATGTCAGAGCCAGGCAAGCTGCTGCAGAAGGTGAAGGTGTGGCTTCAGGAGTATTGGAATGTCACAGACCTCATTGCCATCCTTCTCTTCTCGGTGGGAATGATCCTTCGTCTTCAAGACCAGCCCTTCAGGAGTGACGGGAGGGTCATCTACTGTGTGAACATCATCTATTGGTATATCCGTTTGCTAGACATCTTCGGCGTGAACAAGTATCTGGGCCCATATGTAATGATGATTGGGAAAATGGTAAGCATGGTCATTTGGTTTTGTGTTACACATTCTCAGAGCCATGATCATAGAAAGAGAAACGTGATTCATTTGGATTTGCTACCAAGGTCTGCATGAGATGGCCCCAGAGTTGTTTTTGTTTTTAAATTCTCATTGAGTGTTTTATGAATTTGACTATAATTGCTATATAAAAACTAAAACATTTAATCACCAGCCACCTATTTCCTTACTGAAGCATATGGAAAGGTCACCTGCTTTATGTCATGCTGAGCAGTGGTGCCATAGGCCTCTGATCTGAGGACTCAGGGGGCAGAGGCATGTGGACCTCTGCGATCGAGACCAGCCTTATCTACAGAGCTAGTTCTAGGACAGCCAGGGCTACACAGAAAAAGCCTTTCTCTAAAAGAAAAAGAAAAGTTGGGCAAAAATGCCATTTTGTGAGATTGGAATAGAGGGAGAGGGAGGAGGGGGGAAGGTGCTCAGAGAGACACCTACAAAGGACAAAAGGACCACAGGCCACCATGATTTCACTCAGAATGCCCACCATGGCCAGGTTTGGAGAAGACTTGGTCTCAGATAAAGGTGTTAACAGATTTTGAAGACTCCTAAAAGATGAGCTCTTGAGGTGACTTTGAAAGCTGGGTGTGGTTGTGTCACTTCGATTCCCAACACTCATAAGGATCCCAGATTCCAAGCCACCCAGGGCTACATAGCAAACCTTGTCTCAAATGCCTTGAAGGTAAAATAAGATCAAACAAAGATCTCTGTAAAAGTGGGGTTTGGCCCACAAAGGGAAGATTGAGTTGGGCAGGCAGGATCTGAGTCCAGGGAATTTGTGAATACTGGGGAAAACTATCCAGCAATCCTGGCTCCTGGAAGCAAGACACTTGCTCCTTTAATTCTAGAAAAGAAAGGAAAAGAAAAGAAAAGAAAAGAAAAGAAAAGAAAAGAAAAGAAAAGAAAAGAAAAGAAAAAAGGGAAGGAAAGGGGAGGGGAAAGGGGAGGG